TGATATTTTTTTTTTGTGCTGAAGTGTCACGGGTTAGGGGTTTTGGTGGGTGGGTGAAGATGGTTGGTTAGGGTTAAGGTGGTGGGTATGGTGGGGTTAAGCGGGTTATTGGCGGTGGGTTAAGGTGGTGGATCTAGTGGGTTGAGGGTAGGGGGTGGGCTGGTAGGGGTATGGGTGGGTAGGGGGCAGGGGATGGGCTGGTGGTGGGGGTGGTAGGTGGGGCTTTTTTTTCTATTAAATTTTCCGACGGAAATTTCCGTCGGAAGATAGTAGATTCCGACGGAATTTTTCATCGGAAGTTTCCGTCGGAAGAGGTATATTCCGACGGAAAATTCCGTCGAAAGCTTGGCTTGTTGCGACGGAATTTTCAGTCGAAAACTTGCGACGGACTTCCCAATTAAGTCAAACTTGACTCCGACAGAACATAATCCGTCGGAATGGACCTTTCCGACGGAATTTCCCTCGGAATATCGCGAAATTCCTACAAAGTGTAATGCGCCGGTGCTTTCCAACGGAATTCCGTCTGAAATGGGCATTTCCGACGGAATTTCAGGGTTTTTCGACGGATTTTTTCCATCGTTGATTGGTTGTTTTCTAGTAGTGTTGTTATTACAGTATTATTATTGTTGTTAGTAACATTATTATTATTTATATTATTGTTTTTGTTAGTATTGTCATTATTATTTATTACTCCCTCCCTCCCATAATGTCATGCATGTTTTCCTTTTTAGGCGTCCTAAAATGTTGTGCCTGTTTCTAAAAATAGCACATAATTATTTCTTACTTTTTATCTTTTTCATACAAAATACACATAAATGGATATACACAAAAAATCATTACTTACTTTTTTTTTCATACAATATTCTCTACTTTTTATTATTCTCATACAATATTTTCTACTTTTTATCTTTTCAATAGAATATTCCTCTACTTCCACCATTCTCTTTAATTGCCGTGTTTTTTGAGAAGTAGGCACGAAATTATGGGACGGAGGGAGTATTAATATTATTGATTTTGTAAGATTGGAATTGTTTGGTTGATTTTGAAAGTTATGGTGGTTGACCGGTTGTTGGTGGCTGGTGACCATTAGAGAGGACGGTCAAAATATTTGAGGTAAATTTGATTAGTTTATAACAAAGGTTGGAATTTTAGGTTATACATGCAGGCGTTACTTGGAGATTCGAGGGTCACGTTTAGCGTTCTACTTAAATTATTCAAAAATTAATTAAGTAATTACAAGTGGGTAATCTTAATTACTCTCTCTCTCTCTCTCTCTCTCTCTCTCTCTCTCTCTCTCTTAGGGTTTACTTAAACCCTTTTCACTCTCTTCTCGTTCATCGGAATTTGTCGTCGCCGGTTTTTCAGAAATGACAAGGTCATGGTGAACATCATCATGGTCTTTATAGATGTCTTGTATGGAGTTCGTATTAAGATTAACTCTATGAATACAAACTCCATACAAGATGTCTATAAAGACCTGTCTTTTCCATAAAATTGGCAATGACGAAATCCGGTGACCAAGAGGAGAGAGAAAGGGGTAAAGAAAACATTAGGAGAGAGAAATTAGTGTTATCCACTTTTGATTACTTCATTAATTTTTTACAATTTTTAAGCATTTAATTTTCTGATTTGCATATATATCAAAAATTTGATTTCACAAAGATTTTAACATTTTATAAATTCATTTAAATGAAAGTGAGGGATAGCTCAAGTGGTTAGAGTTCCCCTTAAAAAATCATTTAAATAAACTCTATTTTTTTTTGGGAGGGGGGGAGACAGGATCATTTTATTATTATTATTGTGCCACACAGGATGACTTATGATGATCATTTTTTATATAATCGTCTTTAAATTTTCATTACTATCCCTTACTCTATCCCTTACTACTTTGGCTCTTCTTTGGTAAGCTATACTTGGTTATCTCCACTTGTAAAAATTGAAAATAAAACACGGATGCCTTAGTTTTGTTAGTTGTCTGAATTTCGAATCATTTGTAGTTCCAAACTTCTTGTAAATCAACTCATACCTTTATTATATTGAGATGAATCCAACAATTTTTTGCATCAAAATAGTTTATCATTCATTTATATACCAAAATATGGTAAAGCAATTAGAATAAATATCCATACAATTAAATACGTTTTAAGAAATATGAATACGATTCGACAATTTTTTTTTTTTTTTGACAACGGTTCAAAAAGGAGACTAGCTCCCAACTGGCTCAATACTACAATGAGACAACTTGACTCTCTTAAACATACTAATACAAGTGCTAAAACGGGGATTGGGGATACAAACATTGTGGATTGCTTGGAAATACACATAAAGGGGTTGAGGGGACTCATCACTAGTACTAGCCATAAGATGTTCCACACTTGATCCCTTGCGTTTCTTGATCCTGCAAAAACAAACCCTGTAATACCTTTTACCTTTCTTGTTCTTCACCCTTGACCTGATTGGCCTTTCATGCTTCCTTGACGAGGCAGAGAACTTGAAAGTAGAGAGTGGTAGAAAGGACTGCACCTGGCCTGGTTCAAAACTCATGGGGTCTTCTTCATTAGAACCTACGGATTTCACTTCATCAATGTCAGTGGTAATTAAAACTCTCGCAGGTTCCTCACTCCTCTCCTCGATATTTGAACCCTCATTGCTGCTAGAAGTTAGGCAAGTAAATATATGATAATCTAACTTCTCAACGGCAGCGGTGCTGGACTTGGGAAGCCCAACAACATCGTTAACCATGGCGGCATCCATAAATCACATAGCCTTTTCCTTTTGGCTCTTCCTGACGCGATTCCTCTTTTTCGAACCCACCATCTTAGTGAGGTTACACGAACTTTGGAGTCCTTTGCATTGTGAGCTTCCAAATGCCCATTATAAGTGGTCTTTTCTTTCACTCGTACAATCATCCATGAAAGTGCAAACCTTTGAAGAAATTCGAGGTTTTCCCTTGACTGAGATCCGAGTAAGACAAACCGGAAGTCTTAAGGGACTGATTAATTCTTAATCTGTTGGGCTCTCCCTGATCCCTTGCCCTTAGCCTGTCACGAATCCTTGATGTTAGGGGGGCTAGTGGCATCATCATCCCCCTTAAGGCTCTCTACCATCATCTCACTAGCAGCATCCATGGTGGTTAAGTTTGTAACACCACTCTCAACATCGCTACTAGGCAACCTGTTAGATTCTAGATTGACAGGAGGCTTGCTAATCTTTCCCTTTTCATTGTAAAGGGCGTGAGACAGGCCGAAATCCTCAGTACTCCTCTTGCCCTTAAGCTTGCTAGCTCTGCTTCTTAGACCCTCCACTGTTTCCATCTCACGGAGGATGTCTTTGTTGTTAGGCTCAGCCTTGGCTGCTTTGCCAAGCTCTTCATGGGCCTCTTCAAGTTGATTGAGCTTGATCTCGGCTAAAGCTCTTCTGTAAAAGGCTTTAGTGTTGTTTCCATCAAGCATAATGACAATCGAGCAGAGCTCCTTAGTTTGTTCATAATCACGAACCTTTAGGGTACAAGCTATAAGGTTTAACTCAAGGGAGATGGCAAGGTTACAAAGAAGAACACAATCATCTTCATTTTTCGGTAGTACAAAGCACAATAATTTCAACCCTCTGTCGAATTTAGCCCCAAAAAACGACTTCACCCTTCTTGAAAACGATATTGCCATCCTCCTTCAAGACCTTGGCTTGATTTAGGATATTTCGAGGGCAATTATTAGTAGCAAAGTTGACAATGCTTTCATCATAATCGTCGTTCAAGTGTGTGTGCGTAAGGGCGTTATTCAATTGTTGGCAATCCATAACAACCTTCTAAAGAGAAAAGGGATTGACTAAAACTACACTAAAAGGAACTCACGAACAACACCAAGTTGTAAAAGGACTAAAATAGAACTGATTTGAGGGAAACCCAATTAAAAGAACTTAACTAGAAGCTGAACAAAGGAGACGATGCAATGCACATGCCATCTCTTGAAATCTTGAACTTTCAAATTAAAAGTAAGAATATATTCCCTCCGTCCTTAAGTTTTTGCCCCATTTGACTTTTCGCGGTCTCCAACAAGTGTCTTAAAACGGTTATATCTCCATTTTCACAAGTGTAAAAATTATAAAATTAAATATCAATAAAATGTATAATGAGACGTATCCAATAAGATCTCACATGATTATATTATCACTTATAGATTAAGAGTATTTTATGGTCAAAGTTTATAAAATTTGACCTAAATATTTGCAATTGGGCAAAAATTTAGGAATAGAGGGAATAATCACTAAAATTGTGGTTACAATGAAGATAGCCTACGCAAATCTGATCTTGTTCACTATTTGTTGTAATAAACTTATGATTGAGCTTCATGACACCACCAAAGCCATTAAACTGGCTGCAGAACCACCTTGGATCCCCACTCAGAAGACCGTCAGGTCACAAGAAGAGGCAGCTGGGGAAAACCGCGGCGCGACGGCCGACAATCGAGTCACCGTCACAAGTACCGCGCTACCTCGAACAGCGAGGATGAAAGTTTCATGTCTATAAAAAACCGGGGTCTCCCGCGAGCTGATTGGAAAAGATAGAGGATCCCGCCGGCGAACGAGAGGTAAAGCCGCCTACTCTGATCACCGGCGGTCCGCCTGAGGACGCAAAACGAGGGACTGGTTTCGTTAAAATTAAAGGCCTTGAAAAGTCTGGTTTTGGGATTTTGGTTCTCGCGCGTGGAGCGCGTTCAGCGAGTCAAATAACAGTTTATTTTCGTTTTAACCAAAATCGTAATCAGTTTATCAGTGAGCCTCTTCGACAATTGTTCCACTACTTTTTTTAATTCAATTTCTAAGTTTGTAAAATTTTCCTCCGTACCAAATAGTATCACAATGTAATCATGTCAGATTCATTTCCAAGCGTATTTCAAACGGTTCAAGCTTATTTTTTTACCAACACTTGGAACCTCATTTGAATACTCCGTATTTTATATTGCACCTACCAGGCTACAACAGGCATGATAAATCAATATCACTTCCACAATCACAAGTGAGCTTATTCACTTACACGAAAGACAGAATCCAAAATAATCATTAGGGGTAATTGCTAAATCTCATAACACAATAAACATAGAGTTGCAAACTAATAACATCTTGTCAACAGCACAAAATTCCACAGGGAAAGAACAGTAAACAAAGAAAAAAAACATCTGGTGATCAAGAAATTGACAACAAAAAAGAATCAGTCCTCAATGATGAACTCGACCCTCGAAGTTTTTACTTCAGATAAAGCGCCCTTCTATTTGCTGGTGGCCAACTGGGACTCAGGCTGCAAGAACCCATTTTACAACAATGGTCAGTATTCTGTATAAAAAATTAGCAAATAATATAGGAGCTGATAACACATACTAGCAGAGTAACCAATGATTTAAGTAGCAATAAAGAATAAAAATACAAAGGCCTCTTGATCTGTTGCTTGATTTACAATTTGCTTGGTTGGGGAGAGAGGCTTGAGGACAGTAAAAATAAGTTTTACAGAATAATAGAGAAATTTGATATGTCTCAATTAGATTTGAATACCCAGACCCAATGCAATTATAATCTCAAAGATTTTAAAGGGGGAGGGGCGGAAAGTAATTCCATGTACATGCTATCTTCCCTAGGTCTTGCCTTAGACTGTATCTACAATGCAGTTGGCATATCACAGGTAATCATCTTCTGTTAATATTAACAGAATTTTCAACTACCATTCAATTCAAGTTCTTAGCCAAAAAAAAAAAAAAAAAAAAAAAAAAAAAAAAAAAAAAAAAAAAAACAAGCAAATATGATATTAGTAATGAATTTACCTCTTTCCTCACAGCTTCTTCCTTTTCCGACAAGGTTAGCTCAATGTGGCATGGATGCGACATGTAAGCTGCCAAAGAAAACACATCAGTTCCCTGCGATAATTTCTGCAAGTCAACACAAAAAATAACAGACAACTGAACACTCACGATTGATTCTTCCATGAGCACGGTATGTACGGCGTCTCTGCTTCTGTGCTTGGTTCACCTGAATGTGTGAGATGTATAGGGAATCGACATCCAAACCTTTCATCTATAACAATTCAAATAGCATGATGAGAATGCAGCTCCAAGAAATCAGTTGTGGAAAGACGTTAATAACTCAAGCAAATATGCACCCTAGAAACTAGGAAACCAGTCACATACTTCAGCATTGCTCTCAGCATTTTTTAGCAAGTCCAAAACGAATTTGGCAGATTTAACAGGCCAACGTCCTTGTCCGTTTGAATGACGGTTTTTTGCCTGGGCAGTACGGCCAACTCCTCTACAAAAACGACGGAATGGAATTGCTTGTTTGTGGGCAAGGACATCCTCCAAGTACCTTTTAGCCTTGCCTAGAGGCATTTTTCGGAGTGCAAAGGCAGTTTCTCTGGTATTCTGTGTACAGAAGGAAATGAACACAATAATTAAGATTTATACAACTACTAGAACACAATCTTAGCAACATAGTCAAAGAAATCACAACATCGTACAAAAATACATCACGGGCACAGGTCACCAACATCAATAAATTAAGATTCATTATACATACCAGCACAGTATCACTGCATTAAAAGAAAATTAAATAACAATTATAGTAATCCTACAAAACATTCATCAAATTGAACAGAGCTTGCCCATGCAACAGCTCTTATTTACAAGAACATATTTAACATAGGTAGGAATTGCTATCTGAAAATGGTGCTTTGCAATTTAGAGAGTCATAGTCACTATGTTGCACTTAATCTATCTTACAGATATCACTCATTCTGGAAATTACAGCATCTCTTGCACCCCTACCCACTGGCTAAAGCTATTCTCGTACCCATCTCAACCAAAATCATACATTTTTTATTTTCCATATATGCTTCCCGAGTAAATACGTTATCCAATGGATGTTCATTATAACATCAACAAAACATATAAAATGGACACACAAGACAATAAACAATTGGATAATGAAAGAAAAACATATACAGGCACTCGTCAAAGAGGGATAACATAATGTAATCCAAGGCTACAAGGAAAACATGCAAAGTTCAACTTTCACGGAAACTTAACACCAAGGTAGGCACTTCACTAAAAAATTTATGGCCTCATTTGAGTGTACTACATTTAAACACAAAAATTCACACTGTTGTAGAAGACAGCTCACTAAAAGAAAGGTATAATTATAACTTAAAAAAAAAAAAAAAGAAACAGCTCGATTCCCCTACCCCTCAATGCCCGGCATCAAAGATTCAATCTTATTAATCAAAGCAATTCCATTGAAGCGGTTGTATCAGATATGAAAAAGGCCATTCATCAATGGAAAGTAGGAAACTACAACTAGATCACACAATCTCTCATACAATCCTCTAATTGCTACATGCGAAGTACAACAAAATCTCCTAATTCAGAAACACCCCATCCAAATTATTTCTAGCAAATATAATTCAATTTATACACCAATAAGCAAAAGAATATATGCAACAAAGTAAACATAAAATCAGATTAAACCAATGCTATAATACCAAAAATTTAACACCCCATTACAAAAACCAAAAATCCTAGAAAAATAAATATGAAGATAAACCCAAATTACCTTGAAATGACATCGGAGATCCGACCCTCTAGCCTTGCAAGCTGAAAATTTGATACAAATTAACACCCAAAAATCAAAACCCACAAAAATCAATAAAAAATGGATCAAAAGATGAAGAGAAATGATGTAGGAAAAGCTGACACTTGGTGGGGTTTTCGGGTTCTTTTGAATACTTCACCTGAAAATTAAAAAAAAAAATATTCAGAATAAATCAACCATTATAAACGGATAATAAGGTGGAAAGGGAAGAAAGAGAAAGAAAAAGAGAGATATACAGACCATTGTTGCTCCTTGATTTGATATGGCGTCAATGGCAGAACTGTCCCAAAATCTTGGTGAGGTTTTGTGATTGAGGGGAGTGAAGGAGGTAACTCAGATTTTATGAAAACCCTAATTTGTTTCAGGGTTTTTTTTGGGCTGGGCCTTTTTTGGGTATTGGGCCTTACCACGGCTATTTTACTACGCAATTTTTTTTTTCTGCAAAATCTCTAAATAAACTATTTATACATCCCTTTCAAAAAAAAAAAAAAATAAACTATTTATACTTTATGATATTTTCTTTCCAATTTGACAATCATATTCCATATATACCCAAATGAAATATTTCTGAATATCTTTTATTTACTTTATGTAGTATTTTGTAAAATTAAAAAAAAAAATATGTAGTATTTAGTAATATTATTGTCAAAAATATTTAACAACCGTGCATTGCACGGGATTTTAAACTAGTATTTACTATAAACTATTCATTGAGACGTTTTCAACAAGTATCTATAGGGTCATAGGTTGTACTCCGTATTTCCTCCTTTTTTATCGTAGCGTTTGACTTTTACACAATTTACAAACACTCCTTTTATCATCTTTTGTGATTTATGCGTTGGAAAATATATATTCATATAGAATTTTGTTAGATTCGTCTCGAAATACACTTTCGTAATGTGCATTGACAAGCGTAAAATTGCCAACTTGTAATTAAAAAAACGGAGGAAGTATATAGGTATACCTGGGTACAAGAAATGCCATATTGCCATAGTTCTTTTACTTGTTTATCACGTGTGGAATAAAATAAATCCAAGTTTATTATCTTGAACAAAAAATTGTAAAAATTACTTATTTGTTTCTTTTTATTTGCAATATTTTCCCATAAAATAAAAATTTCACAAAATTTGCAAAGCACTTAAATGGAATCTCTTTTAGCTTAACGTATACTTCTCTTATATTTACTCATTTTAATTACTCATCCACTACCCTTAAAATTAATGATACTCCCAAGCACACCAACTATTGTGAAAAAACTTGCATAACAACACATTTCTTGTCTCTCTCCTTCTTCTCCCTTGTTTCCCATGGTAGTCATTACTACTCCCTCTGTCCCTTATATTTTGCCCCATAGTGTAATGTTACTTTTTTAAGTTTTGGTTGAAAAAAAGTGAGGAGAGAAAAAAGTGGTGGGGTTAATGGGTTGTTGTGAGAGTAGAAATGTGGACTCATATGTCCAAAAATAGAATAGGGCAAAATTAAAGGGACAGACTATAAAGAAAATTGGGGCAAAAATTAAGGGACAGAGGGAGTACCTCGTTCCCTTATCCACTTTCCTTATAGTCAGTGGCGGACCCACATTGGGCCCAGGGTAGCATGCATGTGCCCCCCTCCAAAAAAATTCGTTAAAACAAGCCCTGCAACAGTATTTGTGTAACTATTTTAATTTGTGTAAATAATGAACAGTGTTGCTTTGTTGGTGCGAGATGCGATGATGGCAGTTGTTTTTTTGTATGGGTTAGGGGTTCGAAGCTGCTAGCATACAATATTTGGTATTTATGATACTGGGAAAATAAACATTTTTTAATTGTATGGTTAAAACACCTATATTAGTCAAAGTAGAATATTTTAATAATACTTTTTTGTAAAATAAGTTAAAGTGGTTATGTAAATTTGTGAATAGTAAATAGTTAAAATAGGACGCTAAAAAAGATACAAAGGGAATATACGACAAGACAATGCATCATATAAAAAGTTAACTCAGTTTGTTCAGTTGTTTGTTGTATGTGACGACATTCTAAATAGTGTATAACGAGTACGAGTTTATACGTTAAAGTTATTTATGATTTTTTTCGTATCTAGTACGTAATTCTACCCCTACTTACAAATCCTGGATTTGCCACTTCTTATAGTCCCCCCTCTCTTGTCTACCACCTTCTCCATATATTTTTTAACCCATTATACCTCAAAATCCGTCGAGAAAACATTTGTGTAAAACCGTCTTAGCATTGCTATCAATAAAAAAACAATTTGTAATTAAACAAAAATTTGGATACCTTGGGTCCTTAGCAAAATTTGATCTTTTGGAGTTGGATGGCTAAAATCAAAATCATTGTACCTCATGGATATAAGAGCACTCCCAGCAGTGAGTGAAAAACCCCTCACGAGTGAAAGTTAAGGTGTAAAAAAAAAAACCAAGCACTACATCAATGAGTGGAAAAGCTCTCACGGTTGAGGGAAATGAAAAATGCACAAGAGTTGAGAGCAAATCAGGATGAATAGTATTAATGTGGGACCTAGGAGAAAGTGACGCCACCCCCCTTTTTTTTGCTGAGAAAGCAGTCAAAACGATCCGTTTTGTGCTTGCTGTGGCCAAAATGACGCCGTTTGATAGCTTTCTTAGCAAAAAATTGAAATAGCTAGCAACTGGCGCGCGTCAGGTCAGCCAATGGGATTGCGACACACGTTAGTGCCAGTTTATTCAGCCAATCACAAATTTTCTCTTTTTCCCAACGGTAATATATTTTAAAACGGTAATAATTCCGTTATAAATTAAAAAAAAAAAAAAAAAAAATTCACCAACGACCATAAAATTTTATTCTCTATAAATAGACATGCATTTTGATATATTTTGATATACTTTCAAAAACCCAAAAAATCTCCTATATTCACTAATTTCCCAATCCTCACTTCTTCTTATTATTATAATTATTAATTACGGTTTTCTTAAAAATTATTATTATTATTATTATTTATTAATATTATTGTTGTTATTGTTGTTGTTTTACTTTGTGAAAATATAATTTAATTATTATTTTTTTAGTAATTGTTAAATTTTTTACTAATTATTGTTTAAAGCTTTATTATTTTACTACTTTATCAGCTTATGGATCCTAACAACCCTGATTTTTCTAATCATTTCTCTGATTTGGGTGATGATTTTATCGCTAATCCTCGATTTCAACTTTTCCTACAAAGACTTGGAAACACTTCTTTGCAAAATTCACCACAACAAACACCTCATCAAACTCCTTTCGAAAACACTACCTATGAACCACATTCACCTCTTGTTAATCAAGGGAGCAATTCTCATTTTGATGATGAAATGGAAGAAACTGTTTCAGACACTCCTCAATACCCTCCACCTCCTCCAAGAGTGTCTGTCAATCAAAACCAGTCACTTACAAAATCAAGTCGAATGTGGTCTATTGCGGAGGATGAAGCTCTAATTGGTCTGTATCTTCAATTCAGTGAAGATGCAATTGTTGGTACAAACCAAAAAGCAGTTGTGCTATGGTGAAAAATATCTGCGGCATATGATCAAGCGCAGGCTGAGAAACCCCACATCCTACCGCCAAGACCTTTAAGGAGTTTGGAAAGCTGTTGGAGAAGGATGACAACTGATTTAATACAATGGAGTAGTTGCTATGACGAAGCTGGAAGGGCAACTGGAAGTGGTTACAACGAAGCAGACCGAATTAATAATGCAAGTAACTTATTCTATATTTCCTCCAAGCCTACTCAACATAATTTTAATTGTCACCATGGTTGGGAAATGGTTAAAAATGACCCGAAGTGGAGGACAAAACTGAGATGGGCGTTGTCAAGAGAGGAAAGATTTGCTTGCGGTGATGTTGTCGAAGATGACAATAGTGGAAGTGAAAAGCGGTGTAGAACTGAAGATGAAGGTGTTGTTCCCGTTATCGGTTTCTCTTCTGGAGGTCTTCCTCGACCTGATGGCGTTAAAAAGGCAAAGTTCAGGCGTAATAAGGGAAAAGGAGTGGCTTTTGAAGTTTCAAACATTAGTGAGAAAATGCAGCAAAATAATGCAAGTAGGGAAATTGAGGCACAAATGCGGTTGAAGAAGTTGGATTTCGACATGGAAAGGGAAAGGAGGAAGCAAAACAAGTCGAGCTTCACCAAAAACAAGTCGAAATTCAAGAGAGAAGGCTCAACTATGAAATGCTGCAAGTTCTAATTGCAAAAGCACCGGACCTAACTCCTGATGAAGAGGCATACAAGGAAGAATTACGTGCACTACTCTATGGTAGAAGGAACATGTAATTATGATCAGCTTAATGTGTTTGCTTCTGTTTTATTTAATTAATGTTCAATGTAGTCCTTTTTATTTTAATTAATGTTAGATGTACTCCTTTTTATTTACAGTAATGTTAAATGAATTATGTTTTATATAACATTAATTATGCAGTAATTTATTTACTTTATTAAATTTGTTTTAAATAATAATCACATGTATTGGTTAATCAGAAATATACAACTCCCAATAAAATCTTCACAGCTTTATGTTGAAGAGTCATATCAACTGATCACAAGTATTGATAATGATATAGAATATTGAAGAGTCATACCAACTGTTGAAGTGTCACAGATCACATGCATCAATAATTCAATTGCAATTCAGAGTGCAATGACAAATCAATTTCATTGCAGAGATAGCATTGAAGTGTCGTATGTCACATGCAATGATACATGAATTTCAATTCAGAGTTACTCACATGCAACTTCAGAGCAACTCACATGCATTGATAGTCACTTGTACTATATATACATGCATGTGTTATTCTGAACGGAAAGAATCCCAAACAAACCAACTATCAAACCATAACCAAAAGATGTCTTTCATTTCCTCCACCTCAAGCTCTAGTTCTTCTGATTTCTCAAATAACGTTGTATTTGATCGGTTAGTTGATGATTATGCTGCTAACCACCTACCTCATATTTTAATTCCCCAAGACTCATCACAAGAATCCCAACTTAATAATGATATAGAAAGTGTCCCGGAGCCTAAAAGGGATAGGGAAAGAGAAAAAGGGCATGTGCAACTATATAACGATTATTTTGCGAGTAATGCAGTGTATAACGACAACCAATTCCGCCGTAGATTTCGTATGCAAAGATCTTTGTTCTGTAGCATTATGAACAAGGTGGTTGAAGGGGATCGATTCTTTCAACAACGTCGGAATGCAGCTGGAAAGCTTGGTTTATCACCGTTGCAGAAATGCACCGCTGCAATAAGAATGTTAGCGTATGGTGTAGCCCCAGATGTCGTGGATGAATATCTACGTATAGGCCAAACAACCTCTAGGAATGCATTGCAACATTTTTGTCAAGGGGTTATTTCACAATTTGAAAGTGAATATCTACGTAAACCTACAGATGAAGATTTAAGGAGAATCCTTCATCAAAATGATTTGCGTGGATTTCCAGGCATGATTGGTAGTATAGACTGCATGCATTTGGAGTGGAAGAATTGTCCTACGAGCACAATATGCTGGTCATAGCAAGACTGCAACCCTCATTCTTGAAGCCGTTGCTGATCAGGATTTATGGATTTGGCATGCGTTCTTTGGAATGCCTGGCTCATGTAATGATCTTAATGTCCTTTACCGTTCACCGGTGTTTGATGATGTTTTACAAGGTCGTGCACCACCAATAAATTTTTCGGTAAACAGACATCAATATGAGTTGGCCTACTACTTGGCAGATGGGATTTACCCGAGATGGCCAACTTTTATACAAGGTATAACACATCCTCAAGTTCAAAAAGACAAGTTGTTTGCTGATCGACAAGCAGCAGTTCGGAAAGACGTTGAACGGGCTTTCGAAATTTTACAAGCTAGGTTTGCTATACTACGACAACCAGCACTTGCATTCGACAAAGATATTCCTTGTGACATTATGAAAGCCTGTATAATAATACACAACATGATCGTCGAGGATGAACGACACAACTACACACGTGCAGATGTTTTGAGACGATACTACGAAGAAGATCGACCACAACGTACAGCAGCGCGAGCGGGACCGAGCACAAGTGCCACGGTGACTAACAACGAGCCATTTGAATTCAACGTCGGGCGGCCACCCAACATTGATTTCAACGCGTATTTTCAGAGGAGGATTGCCCTTCGTGATAGAGAAATTCATTCATCTCTCAAACAAGATTTAGTAGAGCACATATGGCAGAACTTTCATCATAATACGACCGAATAAATAAATTTGTAGTTTGTAATCGTATCGTTTATAAGTTTTAATACTCGTGTTCGTGTATTATTTTAGGTCAAACCGCTTTTATTAAGTTTGTAATCGCACTGTTATTTAATATTCGTTGTATTTGTATTGCCGTTTTCTAAGTGACTCATTTATGTGTTCATTTCAAAAATGCGCTTCTAATTAATCGTTTAAGTTAAAAAAAACATCTTTCGTAGAATCTATAATTGCTGTTATTTTTTTAAATTATTATATTCTAATTAAAACGTTAAATAAAAAATTATATTGAAAATGTTATATTCATTAATTTTAACCGTAATTAAATAAATACATAAAAAAATATAAAAAAAATAAAAAATTACAAAAATAAATAAAAAATTATTAAAAATTATTACATTGTAATTAAAACGTAATTATAAAAATAAAATATTACATATTTTTAATTGTATTGGAAAGTTAAATATGTAGTATAAACATTATTAAAAAAAAAAAGAGAAAAAAAAAGATGATGTGTATTATGATGGGGTATAGTAAATAGTGGAGGATAAAGTGATGAGGAGTTTTTTTTTTTTGGAGCATTGGTGTAGTAAAAAAAAACCTCTCATGAGAGGAATTGGATGGGAAGAGTGAGAAAGTGGGTAGAGAGAGATTGAGAGGTTTGTTTTCTCCTCACTGCTGATAATGGTCTAAGATCACACTTCTTATCATCTTAGCCAATAGTAATTTATGTTCTCTATATACACATAAATAAATCTATGTCTAAGTAAGCACAAAAAAGGATAAAAAAAATTATATCGTAGCCTTAAAAAAATGAATTAAGAGGAATAGCCTCAACAATTCCAAGACAATGAAGAGTTATTATTTTTAAATCCTTTTTTTTTTTACTAACATCATGTTTTAAAATAACAACCCGATACAACGCCCGAGTCACACACAAGTTGATAACTGTTTAAAGTAATTTATATATAAAGTGGTTTAACTTTGTAGTTGTACACACAAATAGAATTACCTTTCGTAAAGGAACAATCTCATTTCAAACAGGTCAGCCCAAAAAAAGAACCCTCCCCCCTCTATAAATTGGTTATTTATTTAAATTTATCAAAAATAATACAACTTTTGCTTAACCCGCTTAATATATACAACCTTTGAGTTATTATTTTATAATAAAACTTTTACCTTCGTTTAACTTAAAATAGGAAAGTTTACCGATAACTTGTAGTCCAACACAACTAAAGTCAACAGGTAACAATTAACCACCTTTCCCTCCCAAAAGTTAGCTAAGCTAATTGTGACTCATTATTATCTAGAGTTAAATAAAAAAAAATGCTTTTCTTCTAAGCCATTCACACACACCTTTACACTCCATAATTCAACTCTTAAAACAACAACTTGTAGCAACTATAGTTGATGATAAGTTAAAGGAGCAACTACTACCTTTTAATGATGCAAGAATTTGAAACTATGAGTACAATCCTATAGATAATTTCAGGTACAAATTCGAAAGCCTAGTTTCAATACATGAATTCAATGGGTTTTTTTTATTATGCAAATTTTAGGGGTTTTACGAGAATTCTAAATTATAGGGTGTGTAGAGTAAATTTGGGTATGATATGCAAATTATTTTTGGTTTTTGGGGGTAGGTCAAGGAAGCAGGTGGATCGACCCCTTTTAAGTGCAACACAATCAAGTCAAACTTCTACATTGCATCAAGCAACTCAGTGACATTACTACTGTTATTTTTAGGACAAATAATGTTGTTTGCAATATATTTGGTACATTTTGGCATTACGAATGAAACTAGTACTTCGTAACTTTTGCACAATGCTATTAGGGGGCGTATGGTTAGACTATTGGAAATGGAGTGGAAAGGAAACAAATAAGAGGGAGGAAAGGATTCATTTAACTCTTACCTTTTCATTTGTTTGGTTTAAATATGGAAAGAAATTACTTACACCTAACTCCCTTTCTTTTTGTTTAAGGAGGGTAAAGGTAATTGTTATCTTAAGTTTTAGAGAGGTAACAAATAGGTGGAAACCATTACCTATAGGGAATGGTAATTGTTATTTAAACCTTCTAACCAAACACTTGATAACAATAATAGTTCAATTGATTCCGTTTCCAAAAAAAAAAAAAACTCTTACAAACATGCTCTTAGTGTATTAAGTTTGGTATATTACTGGTAAGAATGAAAATCCCTTAAAAACGTTAGAGAAAATTAAACAGATTAAAAATCATCTTACAGGGAAGCACATAATATAAGTAATTTAAGATGACTTCTTGCAAAATTTTCTCCACTAACAAACAAACTAATCTAATTTAATTTTTGGAAAAAAAATGAAGGGAAGAAATGGGGAATGTGAGGTGTTGATGAGGAGGAGTAAGATTAGATGAAAGAGGAAGGAGTGTAATAGGATGAAAGAGGAAAGAAAAGGTGAGAAATAAGAGTGGGGTAGTTATTCACCTACAACATCCCACGCCACGTCAGCAGGTAACCTGTTGTTATAGGTGGAATATTTTGGTTATTTTAAGTTAAATGAGAGCAATGCAAAGGTTGTATTATAAAACAATAATCCAAAGGTTCTGTTATTTTGAGCGGGTAGAGCAAAGGTTGTATTAACTTTTTATAAGTGTTCAAATTATTTTTTGACAAAAATGTTGAGCTAGGCCATATTAACTAATGGACAAAAAGTCGAGAGCACATATGGAGAAATCTCGGTACAACAATGATCGATCCAAACTTGTTCAATTCCAAACGGCACTAACTTAGCAAGATGATGGGTAACACCATTACCCCTTTTTTAACATGAGATCAAGCAAAATACATAAAACTACTACTTAAGGACAGATATCTTCCAAAACACTATCAAAATCTAAGAAGAAAACGACCGACTATTTTTTAAAAACAAATCGGTCAAAGTTGAGATTATTAATACCAAATTTTCCTAATATAAAAATATTCACTTGTGTTGCTCCCAAAATTAAAAATCTTGATTTCCTTTGACTTTGACCTGTTGACTAAAGGAAAATGGATCTGACAGTTTTACTAAGGGCTTTAGTCTAACGATGGAAACAAAGTTGAATAGATTAGGCCCAATTAAAAGGCCCAGAAAGAGGAACATAACCGGCTATGAAGAAAATAGAGCATTTTAATTTGGAAAGGAGAACCGGCGCCAAACACTACTACATTTTTTATCTAATGCACCGGTACAAAAATAGCTAATACAACGGCTAATTTCATACCGTTGTAGTAGACTAGGCTAATCCATTGTATTACACTAAAACAAGGCTAATACAATGGTTTATACTAACCGTTGTATTAGATATACTATTCTGTTGTATTAGATGAGCTAATCCAACGGATTATTCTTCTAACACAACGGATAGTGTTCCCTATTTTTTTATTTTTTTTTTAATTTTTCAGTTGGAGCTAATCCAATGGATCAGCCCCAAAAAATAAAAAAAGAAAAAAATAATAAGACCTAATACAACGGATGACTAAAAAAAATCGGGAAATGCTGAAATATTAGAGCCAAAAATGAAATTGAAACCCCATTTCCCAAACTTCTCAATCTTCCTTCGTTTTCCTCCCTCACCGCTGCTCCTTCCTTCGTTCTCCTTCCTCGCCGTTTCGTTCTGCAGTGCTCGAATCTCTATCTAAGGTATGTATACCTTGAATTTTCGTCTACCAATTATGGATTTGTTGATTTTGTTTTGTATTTAGTTTTAGTTTGAACCTTGCATGTGGCTGATTGCTCGAATCTTTGGCTTTAGATTTGTTGATTTGTTCGAATGTTGCATGTGGCCGATTGCTTGTTTGAGGGTGGTTGTTGGGGTGGTTTTTCGATTTATGAACCCTAATTTTTTTGGGAGGTTTATTTGGGAATACTTGACATACCTGTTGAAGTTAGCTGATTTTTGTTGTGAAATTTTAGTTGAAGTTATCTCCCATTGAATGTCACCGAATGTCTTTAGTTGCTTCGCCAGAAGACAAGCATTCAGTAGCACAGATTTGCTCTTTTCACACTTATTAGTTGTCATTAGGTAGAACCTCTGCTTGCATCTTAAGGACTTTATTACAAAACTCCTGAAATATTAACTCATCTTTTTTTAGACATGTATTTTGACCTTCTACTGATGAAATCTGACACATCAATTTCTTGGTTACAAACTGCTTAGCCCCTGCACATATTCTTGTAAACCAACCACTGTCTTTGTTCTGGTTCATAACCTTCTTAGCCTCTTCACACGTATCCTCGAATCGAATCTCAGACATTCCCACCACCAGTGATACCAATGACTTCTGCCTAAGCAAAAGATATGTCATGTAATCTGAAACTTGCTTACAGAAATTAGGATAGTTTGTACCTCAAACACTGTCATCAGCAGTCCAATAGCATATATCAGTGGCAAGATGCCAAATCAGTACACTCTCATCATATTCAACATCCAAAGTCCAAGGATTTAAGTACTTTGATACAAGAAAATAATCATTTTCCAAGACTAATGTTGGGGTTGGGTCCCAAATCGCCTCCAAATTAAGACATCAATTACCTTCTCCTTTCTTCTCTTAATACCCACCAAACTAACAATACAGTTCGATATTTTTTTACAGAAGACGCTGCTTAATTTCATTTCACAACCGCTGAATTCTCCAGGTTTTCTTCTCGAATTCCTCCTCTTTTTCTTAATTTCATCTTTAATGTTTGATTTTTGCATTTTGTTGTGAAATTTTAGTTGATTTTTTTTGTAGAATTTTGTAGTGCTTTTGAATTTTTGTGTGTTAATTAATCTGAAGAATCATGCTATGAAGAATTAGTTGAATGTAATAATCAAGGATTGACTTAGCTTGCTCCTTTGGCACCTAATATTTTCATGCTGAGAATTATGGAGTCTTTGAGATGAAGTTTCAGAGCTGTCAAATTATTTATGTTTAGAACCTATTCTTGACCCTTGATTTAATGAAAGAAGCTTAAGGTCACCCTTTGGATCAGTTAAGTCGATGGTTATTATTCTTATTTATTATGTTCCTTGTCTTCCTTTCTTAGTATATTTTTCACAATGATTTTTGTTTTATTTGAGCCCAAAAACAGGCTAATTCAAAATGTAATTCACCAAACATGTGAACTAACATATCGAATTGTGAAATAACTGAAAAGGCTCTTAGGAAAATAGAAGATATTGGAACATTGAGTGAGTAACATAGACTTGTAAATTTTTTCTTGTATATCGTTGTTGGCTCTATTTGCTAATCAGCAAAGAAAGTCATTTGTATGAAGCTGTTATTTACTGGCCTAATTTGGCAAACTAAAATATTATTGTTTTGGTTAATTAGTAAATAAACTTTAACTTTTAGTGTACTATTTATGATTAGTTTGTGTAGAACAGCTACTGGTGCAGAACCCATTTTGATAGTCTGAAATAGGTGCTTCATAAAAGAAGTGTTAAAGAAACAGAACTTTTTAGCAATCAAGATTCCTCACAACTCTCTTGAATTCGCCTGGTAAGTGTTCACTCTTTCATTTCAACCTTTTCAAATTTGTAATCATGATCAAGATAATAGGCATTTCTTGGAAAAGGGGGTACAATGCTATAAAATTGATCAAAATATGATTTTTAACCATTTATATTTCATTCTCATGTCTTTATCCAGGGATATTGGTTATGTTCTATTGCTTCATTTCTTTGGAATTAGCTGAGTAGTATGGACTTTAAAAATTGAATTAATTGGGTTGAATATAAATCTATAGAATTCTATTGTTTTCATTAGTAGAAGATTGGAACATGGTTCTTTATTTCTATCTTGGATAGTAAATAACACATTGAACTCTTTTTATTGCTTTATTATGATAGAAAGGAGATAGCTCTGAATCAAGCAGTAATCCTGTATTAAGAAACTGGTTTCATATGTAGTGCATATCCTTTGGAACCTATTTACTCTGTTAATTTCTATTTTTACCCTAAGGAATGAAGGTGGAACTAAGAATTGGTGGATGTTTGCCAAATGGAGCGATGAATATGAACAAGGAGTCGACGAATATGTCAAAAGGGCTTTTGCTATTAAGTCTCAAGGAAATCAAATTTGTTGTCCCTATCAAATTTGTCATTATCGTTTTTGGCGGTGTGAAGGTGTGGTGAGAGACCATCTAATTTGTAATGGTTTGTTCCAAGATCGGATAACTTATCAGACTTAGGGTTCAATATCCAAAGAGAAGAAACTATTTTGGATAATGAGGAAGGGTCAATCCCAAATGACTCTAGCGATGACGTAGTGAGGTTGTTGCATGATGCACGTGATGCTTTTAGAGAGGGGCCAAATGATGAAGCAAAAAAGTTTTTGAGGTTAGTTGAAGAAGGGCAAGAAGAATTGTATCCTGGTTCCAAAAATCACTCAAAACTTTCCTTCATGATTCGACTTTTTATTTTGAAGTGTGATCATAATCTAACCAATGCCGCATTTGGAGATATATTGGAGCTTATAAGGGAGGTGTTGCCTGATGCAAAGTTGCCAACTTCTTTCAATGAAGCGAAAAGTGTGTTGAAAGTGTTGGGGTTGGATTATACAAAGATTGATGCATGTCCAAACGATTGCATGATATATTGGGAAGAGCATGAAAATGCAACAAGCTGCCATGTTTGTAAAACACCAAGATGGAAATCAAAGGACAAAGAGGATGACATAGAAAATGGTAAAGGAAAGACCTATAGGATTCCTCAAAAGATTCTTAGGTACTTTCTGATAAAGAAAAGGCTTCAACGACTATTTATGTGTCAAGAGACGGCGAGGTACATGACTTGGCATGCGGATGGGCGTGAAAATGATCATCTTTTACATCATCCAGCTGACGGTCAAGCTTGGAGGGAATTTGATTCCTTGTACAAAGAGTTTTCTGGTGACCCGCGCAATGTGAGGCTAGGACTAGCCACAGATGGCTTCAGCCCATTCAACTCAATGAGTATTGTACATAGTACTTAGCCAGTTATGTTGATCAATTACAACTTGCCTCCTTAGATGATTATGAAGCCTGAGTATTTGATGTTAGCACTACTAATTCCGGGTCCTTCTTCCCCAGGCAATGACCTTGACATATATTTACAACCACTAATGAAGGACTTTAAGGATTTGTGGGAGTTCAGACTGGCAACTTATGATGCTTTGAGTAACCAGAGGTTTCACATGCATGTAGCATTGATGACTACCGTGAGTGATTTTCCTGCTTACGCGATGTTATCTGGCTGGAGCACAAAAGGATACTTGGCATGCCCTGAGTGTCATTATGAATTAGATTCTGAGTGGTTGCCTTATAGTGCTAAGAATGTGTATAGGGAAAATCGTAAATTTCTACCTCCATTTCACCCTTAGCGTCGTGATAAGAGGAATTTTGATGGGAAAGTTGAGGAAAGACATCAACCTACTCCATTGAATGGAATTGATGTAGCTAATCTGTTGCGTGATTTTCCAAATGAATTTGGAAAGAAGCAAAAGAAACCAAGGCGTGTTGTTGATGATCCGAATCCGTGGAAAAAGAGGGTCATTTTCTTCTGAGTTACCATATTGGAAGCATTGTCTTAATCGTCACAACCTCGATGTAATGCATATTGAGAAAAATGTCTTTGATAGTGTCATTGGGACATTGTTAGACATTTCTCAAAAGACCAAGGATCATGTGAGTGCTTGTCGAGATTTGGTAGAGCTTAATTTGATGCCGGAGCTTCAACCAAGAGAATTGGAAGATGGTGGCGAAGAATTTCCAAGATCCCGCTTTTGGATGTCATTGGAGCAAAAACGTAAGTTCTGCCAAGTCTTCAAAAATGCCAAACTTCCTCGAGGCTATGCTTCTAACATTGGTCGATGTGTACAAGTTGGGGAAAGGAAAATTGCAGGCTACAAAAGCCACGATGCACATTTTATGATGAATTATTTGCTCCCAATTGCAGTGAAGACAACATTATCCAAAGATGTCGATACTCCTTTGATTAGACTTTGTGCTTTTTTTAAAAGTATATGGAGTAAAATTGTTGATCCTCAACATCTTGGAAAATTGCAATCTGAGATAGTTGAAACATTATGCCTACTTGAGAGGATTTTCCTACCTGCCTTTTTTGATATAATGGTACATCTACCTCTACACTTGGTGGGCCAAATTAAGTTGGGTGGACCTGTAGGTTCAAGGTTTATGTATGGGATTGAGAGGTATCTTCATGGACTGAAGCAAGATGTTCGAAATAAAGCTCGTCCAGAAGGCTCAATGGCAGAAGGATATCTAGCCAAAGAATGTGTTGCCTTTGTAGCTAGATTTTTGAAAGGATCAAACTCGGCCACACCTCAGGTTAATGCTTGTAGTACATCACAATCATTTCTTCCTAAGGTAGGACGTCCAATAAAAGGGAAAGGAAGGACATCAAAGAAAAAAGACCGTGAACACATACTTGATCACAATCAATGGGTACAAGCGCATCGTTATGTCTTGTTCAATTGTGACTGCGAGGAAGTTGAGAAATATATAAGGTTAGATTACCAACCAAAATGTAGTTTCATTTCTTTTTCTCTTGGATTTCAATGTGTTTTATTTGTAGTGTTAATAAAGTAATCTTTTTATATTTTATAGTGAGCACAAGGAATTTGTAAGCGCTAGAGGAAAAAGGAAATGGAATAGCGTTCAAGATCACAGCAAGGATTTTGTGGATTGGTTTAGGGAGAAAGTTGATTTCATTGTTGAAGAGGGTCAAGACAACATCCCTAACAATATCATATGTTAATCAAAAGGGCCTTCTTACATTGCTAAAAAGTATACAGGGTATTCAGTCAATGGTTATAGATTCCATACCATGAAGCGCGATGCTAATTGTGTAACTCAAAATAGTGGAGTCACTCTAACGGCCATGACACATAGCTTTGCGAGTTCCAAAGATCAAAATCCTATTGAGGCTAATGTCAATTATTATGGTTCAATAACAGACATCATTTCAATATCTTACCATGGCTACTTCTGTGTCGTCTTATTTAAGTGTGTGGTTTCACTCTGAAAAAGATGATGATGAGCTTGTAATGATTAATATGTGTAAGACGATTTCTAAAGAAGAACCATTTATCTTGGCATCTCAAGCACATCAAGTGTTTTATGTTGAAGATCTTAATAGAGATGGTTGGCATTATGCTGTTCAAATCCCTCCTAGAGAGCTTTCTGATGGTTTTTTCCCTAACAATTTATATTACATTATATTGCATTGCTTTCCATATTATATTATATTATATTCTATTGCATTGTTTTTCATATTATTATCTTTTATGGTTTATATACATGTTCTCATTGAATGGCTTTGCAGATGAAGGGGAGTAAAGCAAAAGCTTCTGATTCCCAAAGTCAGCTTCCAGACTATGAGTTACAAAGGCTTCGAAAATTGAAGCATAATGCTGAAAGAATGTCAGCCCAAGGATCGGGATCCTTGGCGAATAAGATACTGCAACAAAAAACACGCGACATACTTTGTTCGAGTATGAGGCAGACAGAAGATCCATATGATGGCTCCTCAGAAGACTCTGATATGGAACATGATACTCTTGGTACTCGAAAAAGACAAGTATGTGAAAAGGTATCTTCAGTAACGAATTTGTTGCTTTGTATATATATGTATTACTTATATATATTACTTGTTTGATTTATGCATTACTTGTTTCGCTTTTTTTTTATAGGTCTCTTCTCAACAACATCCAGTTCCCACACGGGAAATTCAAAGGAAGCGGCAAGAACAGCAATTGGGGTCAACAAAGGCATCTGTGAAGAAAAGAGCGTTCTGTTCTCCTGGCTCAATGTCAGCGTACCTCGAGTTTCGGAAACGACAAAATGATGAAGCGCTGATGATGAGCAGTGAGGTGCCTGAACAAGGCAAAAATTATGATGATGAGCAGCTGAATGAGACCGCTGATGCTCTTTAGGAAGATTGTGAGGGCAATGAAGCAGCGGACCGAGCAGTTGTAGCACAGTTTGGAATGGAAGGTATATTCTGATCATGATATTCTTGATATATACATACATACATATATGTACTTCATGTACAAGAACAAAGATAGGAGCTAACAAAGCAAAGAAGAGGATTTTGCTTCTCAAATTGGTGTAGCATGAGACTAATTAACTTTCAGGTATTTGTAGGGCAGAGTGGTAGGAAGGGAGTTTTGATGCTTCTTACTTGGTTGGACAGGTATTTGTGTTTGTTGATAGCTATTCAAAACCTGTCATGACTAGCTAAAATGGATTTGGATTTTATTAGCTAGTTTATTGTTGGATGCTAACATCGAAGAGTTAATAAGAATGTTATCTAATTGCCGAATCTTCTTGAAAACTAAAAGTTGTTTATTAGGACCTTTAGACGGAAACATCATTTGACTAACTATTTTGTGTTGGGAATCCTAAGTCCTGACTCGTAACTGAATAGTACATTATTCTGTGACTTTCGGTAAATTCTGAAAGTGGAAGGCCAGGCATATTTCTGTGTGAAATTCCAATCAAAATTAAAGATAAATTCACCCTCACTATTGATACCTGATAGGGTGACCATTTCTTACTGTGTCAGATTTCTATAAAAGCTCTGTGTGAGTTGGTCAACATTCATTGAGGGTGCAGGGATGTCTCGTAGCACCTCTAAAGCTAAAGAGACTCTTCCATCCCTTCTCCCAGCCGGAACATCATATACTGGCCCTCTTGTCTGTGAATCAGATCACAGGAATTATGTGAATGAAACTCTTCCATCCCTTCTATCCCTTTCTAAATATTATGTGTACACTTTTCCATTCAAGTTTTCTAACTTTCTTTCAACTGATTTTTCTTATTTTAAAATAGTACTCAGGTATAAATTTTCTCAGGTGATTTAGATATGCTATCCAAACCCATAATATTATGGAATTTTCATTTATGGAATTATGTATATGTGCAAGTGAAAGGTTTGAATTTGTATGAGTTTACTCTGTTAATGCAAATATGTTTTCTAGACTGTGTTGATTGCATAAATATGTTGACTACATTTTGGAAACCGTGTGGGCCATAGTGGTAGTATTATCTGGATCAGGAATTTGTTGTGTTACTTGGTAAGTAAATATTTGCTTACGAGTTTAGAATGGTCATGATCTGTATTTACCATCAAACAAGGGGATAAATTAGAAACCAGTTGAATTTTTTTCTAACCCTTTGTTTAGTCAGGAAGATTTATTTATTTATTTTTTTCCTGTGGATTTGAATACGATGAGTTCATAATATAATCATTTTTGTAGATTAGTTGGGTTAAGGAGCAGTGTATAAAATCTATATGCTTAAATCTTGATGGCTGCCTTTTAAGGATTTCGGGATTTGATCCTACGAACTTTTTTAGGAAGATTGAATTCTAACTACTAAGCTAACCTCAACATGTTTCTATGTTTACATAAGTTTAATTCATGGTGTGCTTAATTCAATGTGTGATTGATTTGGTCTGATTTTCATGTTGAAATGCTGATTAATTGTGAGTAATGTTGTTAAGAACAAATTCAAGGAACAGGAAAACAAATCCATCCAATTGACTAGTGTTTATTACCACAGAAACATCAAGTGAATTGTCCTCGAAAAGGAAAAAACAACGAGGTCGAACAATGCTCCAAAGAGTTTACGCACGTTCAAGAGAGGAGCGTCCTGTGATTGTTCTGAACTCATTAGGTCAGCTAGTTGGACCTACTAAGGAGATTGTGTAAGAGTTTTAAGTTTTTTCCGGGAACGGTGGCAAGGGATTCCGAACTTGCACCGCTTAACTACAGAAATTTTCCAAGCCTACCAACACTTGATAAGATATTGGATTATGTCCAGGGTTAAATTGGGTGATGGATGCTGTAAATAGTTGTTGGAAATATTATAAATACCAAATCAAGAAGAAACACTTCTATGCATATGATACGGATGATTTAAGGTGGAAACATAAACCAGATACAATCTCCGATCAGATGTTCCAAGATCTTCTACAATATTGGCATACCGATGAGGCGAAGGTACTGTACGTATATTGATTCTAATCTAATTTCCTCAAATAATTTTATCTAATATGTGTTTAATTTTGAATTAAATGGTGGTTTCCGATTTTCCCTAGGCAATTAGCCACAGCAACAAAGGCAATCGTCTAATGTTAGATGATATGCACACTTTGGGACGCAAATCATATGCTATTTACGCCATGAGTTGGTAAGTACATTTTTTAAAATCTAAATTATAGGCATGTTGCATATATTTTTATTCTAATTTCATATATTATGATTTACATATATATAGCAACAACAAGATCCAGAGAAGAAAGAACCTTCTCAAGCAAAGGTTTACAAGGAATCAAGAAAAAGAAGTGCTGAAAGGACATACATTAGCAGCTCTGAAAAAGCAAAAGAGAATATTGTGAGTTATTCGATATTAGTAACATTGTACGCCTAAATATGTTAGTTATTCGATAATTAGTAACATATTACTATGTTTGGCTAAACAGGCCAAAATTGATGCTTTGGAGTCAGCAGAATCACAAGAAGATGGTAATGTATGCAATGAACCTTACAATGAAGTGATTCCACGTCCTAGACGCAGAAGTCGTGTGCATCTATATGGCTCGGGTGTGAAGAAGAGTGATTTGAAGAAAAAAGATACAAAGTCAAGTTTCATACTCCCGGAGGAATTCCTGGTAGGCATAAAAGCACAATTAGTCCAAGAAATTTCACCTACCATCACCACTGCAGTTTTGGATTCGATTCGCGAGGCGAACCCCGGGATTAATCTTGTGGTTCCTAGTACTCTGCAACAATTGACTCCGCATGATGCATCTAGTGCACCAAATCGAAATACTCCCCAAAGTGGACAATCTTCAAAATCATTTAATCAGGTACAATCTGCACTTCTCTGCTCTAAACTTTCTTTTCTAAACTTCTCTACTCATCTGCATAATTTCTCTCTCCTATACTTCTGGCTTCTTCGCTTTACTCTTCTCCAATTTCTCAATTCCTCCTCCTATTTCTGTTCTTTCTCAATGCAAGATCGTTTCCACCAGTAAGTTCAAACTCCCCCCCTTTCCTTTTTCTCTAATTTTGGTCTTTCATGATGTTTGTTTATGTGATTTTAGCTTTAATTTGTGTATGAATTTGTGCAATTCTTAATTTCTGTGATATAGGTTAAGTTAGGTTAGTGTATATCTTTGGATTGCTAGTGATTTGCTGAAATCTGAAGTTTCAGTGATTTTAGCTTGAATTAGTATGTTAATTATGTGTATAATTAATCCTCATGTTTGAAATTTCTATAATATAGATGTATACTACTAGTTAGAATTTGGATTGATGGTGAAATTTCTGAATTTAGGCTTGACTATGTTTTTAGAAATTATGAGTTGCTGGATTCTAGTTATTGTGGTGTTTCGAATTGGCAGGATTTTTTTGATTGTGGTGGTGTTGGTGTTTATTGGAAGTTAAGGCCATATTCTATTCACATTGTAATGGAGTTTCAGGCTTAAATAAGTGGACGGAGTTCATTTCTAGGCCGATAAGTCCGGATAAGATATATATGAGTAAATAAGTTAATTATTGGACAAGTTTGTTCGAAAAAAGTCCAATTTAGGTGAACTGGCTGAGTCCAAAATTCAGGGCTAACTAGTCAATATAAGCTCAAGAGTTTTCTGTTTAAAAAATTCTAATTTGAGTAAATTTTGCATTACTGAAAATCTGAAGATTATGTGTGTGAAATTAAAGGTTGATGAGGTGGAATCGGGATCATACTGGATTTTGCTCTCTGTGATTGTTCCTTGTTGGTTGTTGTATGATGATATGTTAGAGGGTGAGTTGATTCGGGGGTGTTTACATGCTTAAATATTGGCAAAATAACTCACATCCATTGCTACTGTGAAGTATTGCGTTGCTTGGTCTGGTGCCATTGTCCTGGTTGTAGTGTGTGCTTTACACTTGCCAAGAATTTGGGATGTAATTGATAAATGTCTTGAGGTATCTCTCATAATAATTGATTAGCTATTGTAAAATTTTATACTTAATAGTAGAGTCAGTCTAGTTTGAACTTATGTCGTACCAGTAGTAAGAGTAACTTTTATGTTTGATATGAACTGTAAGTATTATGAAGTGCATTGCTTTTTAGAGAGAAAGAGAGAGATACCAAAGCTCAAAGTGCATTGCTAATTGGCCATTCTACAACAGGTCAATAAACCTCTTTAGCAAATCTTCAGGGCCGCTCAAGGGAACCCATCTTTCATAATATTTATGCCTGCCTGCTGCTGCTGTGTGCTGCGTTGTGTGGTGTTGTGTCGTGTTGTTGTGCGTTGTGTGTTGTTGTGTGTTCGTGTTTGTTGTGCGTTATTTAATTTCCCCAATTAGTGTTGTTATGTTGTTGGTGTTGTGGCTTATGCATTACTTGTTTTAGCTTTTGTTTGGCTTATATGCATTATATTATTTGTTACTTGTCCCTAATGTTGATTTATATACATTACTTGTCCTAATATATTATTATTATTATTATTATTTTTACATGTAGGTGTTTGATGACGATGAGCTACCCCGGGATGAATGAAGTACGGACTAATGTTGATTTTATGTATCTATTGCAAGTACTAATTTTATTTCAAACGATTGTTAATTAATTAGTGAACTTTCATTTATTATTAGTTAGTATCGGCACTTCGTTTATTTTGTAAATATACTAATATAATTTATATACTAATGCAATGAATATATTATATGCACTTCGTTTATTTTTAATTATAAATATACTAATATAATTTATATTTATTATATATTATACCTTTTAGATTTAAACTAACTAATTATATATAATATATAGGTATAATATATAATTATATATTCCAAAAAAAAATTAAAAAAATTACGTAATACAACGGTTTTTAAAAAAAAAAGAAAAAAAGGGTCTAATACAACGGTATCAAAAGGAAAAAAAAAGGGGGCTAATACAACGGATTAAAAAAACAAAGGACCTAATCCAACGGATTGGGCGAGCAATCCGTTGGATTAGGAAGATACCTAATCAAACGGATTCCTCAATCCGTTGGATTAGATCCAATTATTCTCAAAAACAAAAAAGGGAACCTAATCCAACGAATTGTTCAATTTGTTGGATTAGGTCACTTTTTCCGTTGTATTAGACCTAATCCAACCCCAACAAATGCGACGGTTGCTAGCCGTTGTATTAGGTCTAATACGACGGTTTTTGACACCTAATACAACGGAAAAAGCTGTTGTATTAGCTCTTAAATGTAGTAGTGAAAAGTGATAACCACTCAACAATTATGGGAGTTAGTGGGTAACACCGCCCTAAGTTTGCCTATAAATAAAAGTGAAGGAACAAGAGAATGACATCAGCAAATCAATCAACAAAAGCATTTCATTTTCTTTAAGCTTTCTTCTTAGCTTCCTTAGATTTCCTTTGGCTAAGTAGCCAAGCGATAGTATAGTTTTTAGCATGTATTGAAGATCAATTGTTCCTTCCAATTATATGAATATGGAGGTAACTTCTCCTACAAATAGTACAATTATTGTAGACCTGACTTTATCTTTCAATTAATGGAGAACATTTACATCTTTTGTCATATATTTATCTACTCGTTTCTTTAGCAATCTAATTTGTTTAACTTCTTTGAGGAAAACTTCTTTACTGTTTTGTTTTATTACGTTAGCGAGGTTATTAATATTTTGAAATCAGTAACAAGAAGGGTATCCCCTTAATACTCTAGAACAAGATAGGATATTTAATTTGACTTGTTGGTAAAGAACAATACTTATCTCAAAAACTTGTTAGTCACCTAATCCATCCGTTTATCCGCAAATGAGCAAATGACCAATGGATGTGGATGATGTTTTAATACGGAGTAACATACATGACACAATATAATTAAGTGTGGTTCTCTTCACCTTAAAAAAAAATTCAATAAAAATAACTTCATATCAGTTAAAATAAGTTTAGTTAAGCAAAAATAGTTTAAGTCCAGTAAAATTGATTTTAAATCCGTACCTTTAAAGAAAATTATAATTAATATTAATAAAAATAATTAAAATATTTTGAATTAGTAAAAATAATTTCAATTCAATAAAATTAATTTTAGTTCAGCAAAAATAAAGTGAGGAAACGAAACTGTTTTACAAAAAAAAAAAAAAAAAAAAACATATCCGTTCAAAAATAAAAAATTGTTGTAATATACATCGTATGCATAATATGAACGGATTAAGAATACCGCCACATATCACCGCTAAGCTTCCCATGCAAGAATAAATATTTCCGCTCAGAAACCTCATGCTCGATTAGACATTTCACGACATGTTTAATATATCGAGCAAATACTGTTCATGCAAGGGTACTAAATCCCCGCATAATCTGACAAAAATATACACAACAATTATCTAAGCACCTAAAAGCTTTCTTTTGATCTCTTTGAAATCCTTTGTCGTAAAACACGTATCAACACCAATTTGCTCAATTCACTTAAAAGGTAGTTTTGCTTTTTCAGATTTTAAATTTAAATTCAACTATCAAATTATTCATTAGTGGCGTCAATACATTTTTGAATAAAGTATCATTCTCAAATATATATTTCATAGTAGAGCATAATGCCATACCTTGTGGTACAATACAATCAGCCCGAGGGAGTACAAATCAAGCCTGAAACACTAACCCCGCCGAAGCCGTTGAATTTCCACAAGTTGTTCCTAACCTCAATGACAATCCCCTAGTACCACCAACTGAAATCGAAGCCCCTCCTCCGGATACTAATAAGAGAGGAATAAATGATAAAGATACTGCCACCACCGCTACTAGTAAATGTCATCACGGCGACTAAATATCATCAAAGCAAATCAGCCACCTTTATAGAGGGCAATGCAAAGATTGTATTTTAAGCTGCCTATATAGACGGGCGGCATTCTTAAAAATGTCACCTCGATGGTCGGCCTACGTTTTATTTTTTGAGAATAAGGCCACCTAAAATGGTAGGAAATTCATGGCCGGAAGTATGAAAATAAATTTTTCATCACATAAATTTAATTTGCCTCTTATTTTATAAAGTTATTTTTTCTTTTTTCCTTGACTATATGCAATTTTCTACTCCTAATTAAATTTTAAGGAATATAAAGTAAAATTAATAAAAAACAAAAAAATACAAAAAAAATAATAAAAAAAAGTGAAGCAGACGAATTGCAACAAGGGGAAATCGAAAGAAAGTGAGAAAAGCTCCACTACTCTCCAATACCCCATGTAATTACTAACCAATATGAAAAGTTGACAGCTTTTCATCATCTTTGAAGGAGTGAATTGAAGTAAGGAATCTTGCTTAAATAAAATTGTAGGACATAGGGGGGTTAAAATAAGACCTTCTGGAACACGGAGGGTTAATTTCTAACGACTCCCACTGCCAGCAGTTGGTGGCGTTACGGCTTGCCGACCGGTTGCTGGTGGTGGCTTGGATGCTGCCAGTAGCCTGCTAATGGTCGTGGTGATGAGGACCTGTAGCCTCAAGTTGTTGAGCTTTTTGGAAGTTTTGGTATAAATTTTTTGGAGTATTGAGCTCCATTTTAGGGAGTTTTTTAAGAAGGAAGAGAGAGGATGAGCATGTTTGTAGATGAATATGAATTTTCTGAAATCTCTAGTTTGTTTATAACGACAGTGTTTGATTTCTTGCTCCCATTTTATTTTTCCTCTTGGCACATGCAGTGGCGGGCCCACCCTTGTACACGAAGGGTCACGTGACCAAGCAAAAAAAAAAAAAAAAAAAGCTCCTCTCTCTTCACGTGAAAAAGATTAAACATTCAATGATTCAATATACAAATTGACAAATTAAATTAAAGCACGCTCCTCCTCCCTTCCTCTCTCTCTCTCTTCGAAAATCAAGTGGTGTCGTCTCCCTTTTTTGTTCGAGCGTTTTGACCCTCCGCCTCGCCAACTGCCACAGACCTTTTGTTCGATCATTCCCACCACTTGACCAACCGCACTTGAGCACCTCTCAGTCTCTCAATTCAAATAACTTTAAGTCATTTTCATATTTAAATTTGAATTTGAAGTTTTCAATTTCATTCTCCATAAGTTGGTGGGTTGATTTTGTGCTTAAATTAGTTGATTATGTTAATTAATTTATCAAATTAGTGTGGATGTTGCTTGAAATTGATGATTTGTTATTTATTCTACACAATTAGTGAGTTAGGGCTTCTGATTTATATTTTTGGAATTGATAACTTGACATTTCTGATTTTTTTTTTTTTTTTTTTTAAAAATGATATTATAATGGGCATTGTAATTGTTTGCCAAATTGAAAATTGTTGAATTTTAACTAAAAATAGTGAATGTTAACCTTCTTGAGCCCATATTTTAATTTCTTTCTAGCTTTGCTGTCAAAACTACAACCTTCCCTTCTGCAATGATCGGCTTCTAGTAGCCACGGACCCTCCTTGTAGCAGCAAAAAGAACAACCCCTGTAGCGTTCCTAGCCACCACCCCAACTCCAACCCAACCATTCTCATTAATAGAAGCATCACAATCTATTTTTATAGTGTCAAGAGGTGGGTCCATCCATGTCTTTGAGCTGCTGCAAGTCTGCTTGCCACGAGTACCCCCATAAATTTTCTTAGAGTAGAGCTTCAAATCTATAGTCAGTCTCAGTAGGGAATTTCACCTCCACCCTACATGTGTGTAGACATCTACTTTTGGTCCCCTGTCCCGACCGGAAGTGCTATGACGATAAATAATTCAATCTTTGTGCTAGATTAGAGTAAGGAATGCTTATGGACTACTTTTTAAGGCCTAAACACATAAAACCAACTAGCTTGACCCAAACGAAATGAACCAAAGCTTGTTAATAATAAGCCCAATCAGAAATTAGGCCTAATCCCGAGATTAAACCTAATTTTGACGAATTTAGAAGCGCCTAGGTTAAAATCTAGGGCTGCCGTAGGAAAAATCGTGCGTAACTCACAAAGATGCGTGTGACTCCCAGCGCAACCTCCAGAGGTACGCTTGCGGAAGATTTAGAATTTCATAAATATACCGAATCGAATTTTACCATAAAGCCACGCGCAAGACCATAGGTTGCGCTACCTAGAGTAGTGCGACTAAATCACTTGCGGTTGCGCGTGCCACCTGTTGCAGCAGAATATCCAAAACCCTAAACTCACCCATTCCCTATAAATAGAGATTCAATACAAGCTTTTAACACACAGAAATTAGCCTAAAAAGTCAGCAATAACTTTGTGAACTTATGCAATAATCATCCCTCTTGTCCTAAACACTCACCCTTTAATTGTTTTGTTCTTACGGTGGAGGTTCCCGAACAAGAAGGGGTCCATAAGTGTTCTAAATGAAGATCTAGAAAGGAAAAGTGGTAAATTCACGAACACTTAGATAAATCACTTTTTCTTTTTCTTGTTTAAATAACTTTAGTAAATTAATTAGTGTTGTTTGATCACTTTAAACAAACTTTTAATTAAATAATTTCACATAGTATCTTGCGTTAATTAAAGACTAGAATTGCAACAATTAATTGTTGTTTTATCACTTAAGTCAAGGCAAATATTGTTTATATCTTGTTCTTTTCACGAATTTGAATAACAAAGAATAACGACATTCGTTGCAATGTAATGTTTATGTGATTAATGCTTGTAAATAAAATCAATTAACTTAGTTTTAGGTATCTCGTTGCATATATTATTTGGTGATGAAATTGTAAAAAAGGAAGAGCTAGTAGAGGCCG